GTGAGTATATCAGTTTCGGTTTCATAAGCAAGAGACTTTTAATCAATGTCGAAATCTGCATAAGATTGAAATAATATGCAATGTACGCCATGATTAATTTACGAACGTATTGATTTTATTTCTTCTCTATTTTAAGTTTTTTTAATACTTAAAGATAGATTTTCTATTTATTTATTTATTTTATTTTTAGTTATAATATAAATGATATTTATTGTCTTGGAAACTTTGTTAAAAAGACTAATAATCGGCTATGTACCCTTATATTCTTTTTTATTCGCATTCTTTCAAATTTATTTTGACTATTTCCTTTTCTATAATATTAGTGAATTTTAATTTTCAAAAATAATTTAGTTTATATTAATTTTTTAAAAGAAATTTAGTTTTTTATCAGAATTCATCTCAATTAATCTAAATCAAGTAATAAATTAGCACTTAATGACATAATATTTCTTTTTATAAATTCATTGATAGTGTATTTCAAGGTCTGCTTCCATAAAAAGACTCTCATATGGTCAAAAATTAATCTTTTGACTTTAACCCAATTAATCTCTGCGAAACTGATCCACATCGGTGACTTGTTAATAAACAGTTTGAAAACAGCAAGCAAAAAATATATGAACGAGGGCTGCGTCATAAATAAATCATAAAATTAATTTAGGTGTAATAGCTACTATAAATTAGTTAATTATAATATATATTGATATATATTCGCATTATACAAATCATTTAATCTTTGTAGATATACGTGTATCTAGACAACTCAAATGAAAGTATTTATATCTGGTCGTATTATGAGAAAGGACAATAAGGAGACTTCGAACTGTGCCGTTAGCTGTTGTGATAGGCTGTATATAATATACACGTAACGTAGTTATTTGATAAAATAATATAAAATTTCACGTTTCCTGTAAAATAATATCCCATGAAAGCAATATATACATAAAAATATTGTATTTCTTATTTAATTCTAATCTTTAAAGCAAAAGACATTTTCCGGTTAGTGCTACCTGTGACTTCGCAAAAAAGCACACAAGTTCGGGAAATGGAAAGAAATTTTTGGTACCACAAGTGGACTTTCTTGGTACACAAGGCCGCCACTCCAACCTAACCATACCTGGTTTATACTTTTGCAAGTAAATATGATAAGTAAAGAAAAGATAAGCACATAAAAGTAATAAGAAAAACAACGCCATACCGATGATGGGGCCGGAAACTTTTTGTGGACTAAGACATAGTACGCTCCTTTCTCTCATAAAAATATAGGAGAACCAGAATAAAAAGAATTTTTAAGATAATATACCAAAATTAACACAGTCCAAATCACTTATTGGTATCTATAACAATAAGAGATACCAGGATTGTATAAACCTATCAAAAAAAAATCTTAAAATAATAACAAGAATCCTATGGGTATGGGTATAAATACGGATGCAAACTGTAGATTCTGTGAAGAGAATGAGAAATCGGTCACGCATGTGCTGTTAGAATGCCCTGCGGTAACGCACTTACGGAATAGGCTCCTGGGAATGTATATTATTACGAAAGAGGCAATAAAACTCTGTAAATTATGTTACATAATACTTTTAATTGACGCAACAGTGCTTAGAGACCTACTCTAAACCCAGAAGAGGGCACAATAGAACCGACGATCGCAGTGCCACATCCTCTAACAATAATAATATTAATAATAGGAAGAGGTATTGGGTCTAGTATGTAGAATCAGCAATGACGATAATTGTACTATATTGACAACATTTTTCTGATTAAACATCCCTCGAAATAATTTAAATATATTAATATTTTTCATATAAAACATTTATTATTCTTATATATATATATAAATTTATTTTATTAAAGCAAAGTATATAAAATGATAATCTCTTAAAGATACGCTTATAAACTGACGTGTTCGGCTGTAAATAGAGTATGAATACGAGTATATATTAAATAATTTTATTTTTTTCATCTTGGCACAAATATAGTTTTTAAATTAAAAAATATTTTTCATTTTATTTATTTATATAAAATACATTTTATCATTGCAATAGCGAAAAAGTATTATTGCAACTCATCTGTATATATATTTAAAACTGAAAGTACTTGTATGTATATAAGAGAATAAATCTATGTAAACTGTACTTGATTCTGTTGTAAATTAGACAATGATTTTTCTGAATATACACATAATTTTATTAATATCCTATCTAGTACAGTGGTCTCCAGTCTTGTTTATCTGAACATAAACAGCATGTTAACATTAAGATATAATTTTTTCCATCTAAGCCTAGCCTTAGAATTAATTCTTAAAAACGAGTCCATTCCTCATTACAGTAAAAATCAAATGTTAAAGATCTTTTCAATGTATTAAAATGTCGAAGATGTATTGTATATTTACAATATAGTCTAGACTACTTCAAAAAACGATCACATTAATTTTCTCTTAGCCCTTCTTCTAGATTAGGTATGAATCCATAGGATTGTTAGGATTGTTTATTTTTTGCATATAAGTACATAGGTTCAAATTTTAATATTACTTCACGTATTATAAAAAGATTTCGAAAAGTAGTGAACTATAACAACAAAAATTCTTTTTATATTATTTTAATCATTGAACGTTCAAGAGCTACGACTTTACGCCTGGGGCGCTCTTCTCCAAACTGTATACGTACGTTTTTTCCAGTAGAAGTTTCCAAACCAAGCGGGACTCATCAGCATTATATAGTTAGGTATTTAAAGAAGTCGAATACCGTATCTTGTTTTGAATCTTTAAGTTCATCCATCACTAGCGTAAAAATCTTCTTCCTTTTCTTTCTTTTTGGCGTTTTCTTTCAGCATTAATTATAATAGATAAATTAATTCTTTAAATGTAAAACTTAAAACTTAAATAAAACTTAAAACTTAAAAACTCAATCCACTGTATTGCAAGCCTCCCAAGTAATTAAGAGATTTACGGTGTGGAAAAATTCATTTGAAAATATTCAAAAAAATTCAAAGACTTTTAGGTTAAGTAACGGTTATCATACACACAGTTAATTTACTAACTAATTCTAATATCATTTACAGTTGGATTTTCTTCCCTCTTTTTTTTTATTTTTTAATTTGATTCTTTAATCTTTGGTGACAAGCGTCAATAGACCATCTAAGAATGGTCTAAGAAATGCCCTATACTGTAAACTCAAGCCTTAAAAATAAAACAGTGACTTAGTAGTTGGAATAGAGTTTAAACGAAGATATTATATTAATTATATTAATTATTTGTTAATATTAACACAAAGAAGAGGGATCTGGTTTTTATTAATTAACTGATTTGAGTGTCTTTACTTCCAACTCAGAAAAATCGATCTGAAGTTATTACAGTTCTACTTTTTTATCTTTATGATGAGTTTTTCCCTTCATTGCTACTTATAGGACGATACAGGAATACATATAATCAGTGTGTCAGCAATATTACTTCGAGGAATATTAATGAACTTTGGCATCCACAGAATACCGATGCGATGCTGTTGCACTATTTCACTGTGAAACTAGCGGTAGCTGGAAGATAGTTTCATTTCGTCGTCTATGTTTCGAAGAATTTGCTGCCTTTATATCTTTTGTGATGTTTATCTAGGTGCTACATCCAGTACCAAAACTTTAACTTGGAAAATATTGTTATTATTAGATATATTTAATACCATGCTTTTGGTGAGGATCACGTAGCCCATATAGCTATTTACGATAATATAAAATGTCAAACTCGTTATGTTACACTGCATTTTTTTTACTTTTATCTGGAATAAAGTTCCATCGTTTGTTTTGAGCCCATCTGTTATTAACTCTATATACAGATTTTTCAATTTTTACCGTCATTGGTAAAACAATATACCGTTTCCCACTTTTCATCAGTATAATCAAAGGCTTAAACATTTTATCTAGATTTATCGGGGACTCATGTACATCAATTTGAGTTTTGTTATCGGTTACACATTTTTAAAAGTCGTACAGTAGGTCAAAACAGAAATTAACCGATCTGTAGAAATATTGAAATGAAATTTTTCTAAAGCTTTGTTTTAAAAATGGCCTTTCATTTGAATCTATTTTGATCCTAATCGGTCTACCGGAACTCCTCCAAATTTAGGACCAAAAAATAATCCATTTTCTCAGTTACTTTAAAAAACTATGAAAGATAGAAAGTTGAAGATAACATAAGATAAGATATAAGATAACATACTCGACATAATCGTGAATACTGTATACAAAATAGAATTACTTTTCCTTAAATAACAATAATTTAGCCCAAATACCTTTACAATAGTTATAGATAAAGTCTTCTAATACAGTATAAATATCACTGATGATGGGTATTTGGCAATACTCGAAACAGCTGTATGGGTTACCAAAAATTCAATAGATTAAAATAATATAATAAGATTTTTTGTTGTTGACGTTTACTACGTTACGAAATCTCTTTACCGATTCAGTAAAGTAGTAATCATAACTCAAGCGATTATTCGATAATGATTCTTGGAGTACTGATTTAACCCAAACTTGAATGGTAGGTATGAGAAACATTTCTGTTAAAGAAGTTTAAGGAAAACTATATAAAAGGTCTTTTGAATTAGATTTACCTCAATAATTTCCATTCCCTTTTTCAGAACAAATTTATACATATTATGATAATTTTCAAAATATTTTCGGTAATAATATGTCTAAGTAGCTTAAAAATATTCAAATTTAATAATACCATAATAATAATAATAATATTACAAATTATATTATTAAAATATTAACGGTCTGGTCTATTGGTTTATAAAAAATAAAATCATTCTGTTTTTTTTTTGTTGTATATATGTATATAAATAAAGTTCTTGTAATTTCAATTTATTAATTAAAATACAAACATGTTGTTCACATATATATAAACATCTCACTATATACATACGTAAATAAATTTTGCATTTATGTATAAAATAATATTAAAAAAAGAAATTTTTAAACTTTAAAACAAAATTTTAAAAATATTACATTTATACACAAATCCAATCTTAACACTTTTTTTTAAATATATATATTATATATAATATCATAAAACTCCATGTGTCTGTGAATAACTTAAGAATGCACCCTGTATGTGGTAACCTTGCCATTATCATTTATTGTAGTTTGAGCACCACGATAGTTTGTTCGCTTGCCATCAACATCGGAGCTGGAACTGAATGAGCTGACCGAAACACCCTTATAACCTCCAGGACCGGAACCAGATGAGAATCTGTTATGTATGTTGGGTACAGACTGAAAAAAAAACATGTGCTCAGTTTCATTCATATATAAGAAGTGAATACTCTATACATATATTTGTTTATATTATATTATACATACGGGATTTTCGGGACTAATATAGGCAGTTTGTGTATAACCACCAGGTCCAATTGAAGCACCAGCGGCTGCGAAATTGGGTGCATAACGGTGAGATTTGTAACCCTTATTATAATAACCTGGCTGACGTCTTACGTTATCGAAGTAGCCTTGTTGTGCTGCAATTTGTTGCTGTATTTGCCTAAAAAATTTTTATATCATTAATTCATCTGTTTCAAATAAATTGCATATGAAAATGATTAGATTAGTGAATTAGATTATTAATTAAATACAATTAAAAATATATTCAAAAATTACATTAAAATTTAAATTACTAAAATTCAACATTTTCAAAACTACAATTATTAATTCTCAAGTATTAATAAAAATTAATTAACTACAAAAAAGCATCTATATTATCTAAACGTTATTTACTCATCATCGGGATACTGAGAAGCATCAGCGTAAACAGAAGCATCGCCCGTAGAATATGTCGAAGCTAGTGCACTAGAGAAAGTATAGGGAAAATACAATAATACAGTATGTAAGTAGTGTTAACAAGCCACCAGCACCAAGTTTTAAAAAACCAACTATATGACAACTATATGGACTCACCTATTTTGTGCTGCATGTTGAGCCAATATCGAAGCAGTCAATTGCTGATGGAATACGAACGGGTCAATGAAACCAAAACCAAATTCTGGTGCATAACCGAAACCTGTACCAACGAAGTTACCGGTACCATAGTCTCCAGCATACCCACCAGTATAGCCGCCAGTACCAAAGCCTCCGGCACTTGCACCGGCAAACCCACCTGCGCTAGCATAGCTACCTGCGTTATGTTTAGTTTATTTTATTGTTTATAATTTGGTTTCATTTTCATTTAATTTGTAAAATAATTGAGTTTATTTAAAACTTAATTATTGCATTTACACTATACATTACAGTATAATTTCTTGCCTTTTGTTTTTTATATTAACACTTACCTGCTGCGGTGTTCATAATGGTTACCGCTAAGCAAATAAATAAAAGCTTCCACATATTAACTGAAAGATAATATATATAAGCAAATATTAATTTCTTTTAATTTTTTTAAATATATTTTGTATAAATATTTATTTTTAATTATCAATAATATTGAAAGCTTTGCTAAATATCAGCCACCTCACAACAAAAATTTTTTATATATAGAGATTTGATTTTAAAGAGAAAAAATATTTAAGAGACTATATATTTTTTGTGTCGCGTATATTTTGAAATTGTTACTTAGAAAATACTAGGTATGTAAAGTAAGGTTCAAGTGGCAGCCTTGTTCTCCAAAGCCCATTTCAACACAAGTAGTGACCAATCTAACTTACCAAACTAAATTATTGAAGAAATTTTTAATACAGAAATCTTGAAGAATTTCAAGAACATATATGTAAAGAACATATATGGTTACTCCACTTATCTTGAAGATTTTTTAATGATGACTATGGTACTAAATAACACATTATAATAGGACGGACAGACACCCATTTATTAAAATAAATCTGGAAATATAAGCTTTAAAAAGCTTTGAAATTGAAAAAGTCGTTATAAAATATATAGATAATCATATTAAATATCTTACGTATTATTGTCGTGATCGAGGTTCTATAATTATGGAACTATACAGATACACCTAATTATTGTATAAAAGAAAGTACCGAATATACCATATATTAAATTGGATATTATTGAAATGTGAAGAAGTTACTTATCTTATTCTTCTATGCTATTATTCATCCATCAAAATGGAATGGTTTTGAAAAAGACTTAAAAAAAATAAGTGTGCTTAAAAGAATTATCTATCATTCATTCTAAAACATCCTAAAGATGTGTTAAATTCTTACAGCGAACAACGGACGCCAAACAACGATTTTACCCATGTAGTTATATATACATTATACTTATTATCTCCAACATATAATCTAGAATTAAAACATCAAGAGAAATCGATAACAATTCTAAATTAGTGCAATTTAATCGTACTGACGAAATTGCAGATTAATTTTAATACTTTTAATTAACTAACCAAAACAATTAATTTGTTTCTTAGATCTGTTCATGGATCAGCGAATTATGGAACTATAATTTATAAACAACTTCTGAATCCAATTCTCATTGTTTGCCAATAACAGGCAGGGCCGGCACTTCAACTTATCCTAATCTACACCGGCATTCAATTTTTCGGTAATCAGTCTACATAAACAATATACATTCCCCACACTTAAATTTCCAAAATAAAAGTAAATGAACCATTCCATAGCAGTTAATTCAAAAGCATACTATTACTAAAAATAACACAAATCGGGTCTCATGTCTGTGCTACATTCTTAACTTTGTCGTAGTAAATCAAAGTTTGGGTCAAATACACCCAATCTTTTCTATAACCAACTGAAAGAATCAATCTTAACAAAAAAAGTTCACCAATAATCAATCACCAATCTGTCATCAATCATTTATCAAAACCAAATTTCAGTTACAACTAAACAAACAGAAAAACGTCGAATACTTTTTGTACAATCCATATCGAAAAGACACGGCGAATCTTTTATTATAAAATTTTTGTTTTAAGTTATTAAAACTTTGTATTCATTCAGTTTTTTTGTAATCATTTAATGTGGATATAGGTATAATTTTTGTTAGATAAGATCTAATGCTTCTCTATAGAGTGTCCTTTGAAGCATGTCAACCAATTGTGCGTCCCTGTTTTTGATCTATTTAAGCTTGTTTGTTAGAAAAGCCTTATTATTAAAATTTATAGATCTTATAAAGGAATAGTCAAATAAGTTATAGACAAAGTAGTCATTATATTCCAATTGATATATAATTATATATCAATTTGTTTCGTTCTACACATACGCGATACCCATCTGTCCAAAGCAGATAAGATCGCGGGCCATACAAATTACTGTACAAAGTGGAGGGCCGCAGAAATAAATACATACATAATCATCAAGTTATATTCTAAAATTTATTCAAATGAATAAATAATAATAATTTTTAAATAAACTCAAATAATATTCATGGATGACATGACGTGACGTTACCATTTCAAGAAGGTATATCTAATTAAAGGGAGAATATATCGGCATTAAAGGATAGAAGACTTCTGTTCCCGTTTTTTGAGATTTGTATTACTACTCCTATTATCTTGGTCACAGGAATTATATTAGTGCAAAAGTTTCAATTTCCGTCTAATATTAGGAAATACTCAGCAAGAAGTATTCTAATTGAACAGAACCCTTAATAAAACTTTATATATACTTTAAAGGAATTACTTTTAGCTGACTAAGACCTCCCAGTATTCTCTATCATGCCTGATCTACGAATATCAAATCAAATTTTAAAATTAGTTTTATTTTAATTGTATAAATAATAGCCGTAATTTTTTTCTTTCAGGGTTGTAAAAAACAACAAAAAGTCTGGTTGAAAACAGTTGGCAGCACTTTTAAGTTGTGTTAAATGCTTTTTTTTTCACATATGTTTTTTGTTAGGTTGTGTACAATAAAAAACTTGTAAGCGCTAAAAATTAATTAAATTTAAGAAAAGATTAATTAAATTAAATAAAATGAATATTAGAAGGGTTAGGTTAGATTAGGTTCGAAAGGCGCGTGCTGACCGTTGTCAGTACTTCCACTCGGAGCCATATAAAGCGCATTGCGATGCCCTCAAAAATTTTCCCGAGAGAGGCGAATTACTAACCTTTGTAATCCTTGTTAAACCATTTCTTTTTGCAGATGAAGTTGAGGAGATCTGATAAGTTTGCTTTCGTTATCTCTTCCAAGTCAGTGAAAAAGCGATCCCCGAGACATTGAAGTCGCTATTATTATATTATTGAAATATTAGAAGGGTAATGGTAAGCATTTCCAATGAACATTCACAACAGACTGCACTGAAACTTAAGACTTTAAATTTTTTGCAAGTAAAACCTAACTCTGAAGATTTTAAGAGCATTTTTGTTATTTTCTTTCATAAGCTGCGAGTATTCTTTTTGCTACTCTGAAAGAAAAAATTACGGCTAATAATGTTTCAAATAATAAACAAAGAAGTGATCGAAGTACATAGGAATCAAATCATGTTTCCCTTAGTAGATGTCGCTTTATTGTTATTCCTAATCAAATTGAAATTTTAAGTGATACAAAGTATCTCAAGTCTTACTAGTTGTGTACACAGTTTTACTACTTCAACATTAGTGTGTCAAAAATGACAAAATTTTTAGAGAAAATATTCTAATTTTTGAACATTTTTGAATATTTCAACACTTTTTAACAAATGAAATTGTTAAAATTACATTTGCATACACATATGATGTCATACCCGAGTGATTCTGTTTATCTAATATCTTAAAAAATTTCACTTTGAGTCAATCAAATTCATTAGCAAACAATTTGAAGTGCCTAACAAATTTCAACATTGTAAATCTTAAGAAAATATCGTAAACAAATCGTCTAATTGCATTTTTGAGTAACTTTTTAAACATTTTAAGTTAAGTCACGTTATGTGTTTAACAGAAATTTATAAAACACAAACAAAACAAAAAAAAAGTAAATAAATTATTGAAATCTACTGTGTGTATATATATAAACTCTATATATAGATATAAAAACTCAAATGAAGATAAAACCTCGTTTTTTTAATAGATGATTTTTTGATGATTTAAAGTATATAAAAATCATCAAATACTACTACAGTTTTCTGCATCAATTGATCTTTGATATAACTTAAAACATTATTTTTGGAACCGATTCGATGATGAAGATAATGCTCTACGATAATGGAATATGGAAACATCCACTCAGTTCATTCAGTCTGTCTCTGCAGTTAGCTGGTGCTAGTGAAAAAATTATATATACATATTAATAATACTTCTTTATTTGAATAATCACATAATTTCTTATCAAAATAAAACTGAAAGAAAACAATAAAAGCATATAAGACTTATTTTATATGACATATATTTTAATAACGAAAACTACACTAATTAAAAAAAAAATAATTATAAATAAAAAATTTATAACCTTTAGGCTGATAACTAGTGCGAAATAAAGAGGATTATAGTAACTAACAAAATGAGAAAAAAAAGTATTCAACATTATTAACTACACTTATTGAATCAGGCATTAATAATATATATTGCATTATTGAAGCACTTATATTAAACATGTATACTTATAATATAATACTTTTCACAAAAAAATGTAATTACCTCACAACATTTAACCAAAAACTTTAACCTAAATTAAATTTAAATTTGTTGTTTCTTTTTTTGTACATAAGTTTTGCATTTATATTGAAGATCCAGCACTCTCTTCTCACTAAAGGTTCAACCAACCAGTCTAAGCTTGCAACAAAAAACATTGTACGATTGAAATGAACAAAGAAAGAACTTAAAAATCGAACAACTGCTCATATGACCACTTGGAGCAGTTTGTCACTAACCTATTTGATGAATATTTAATGCTTTCCAACAAAATCTCAATGTTCTGTATAAATACAAAACAAAAACGGAGAAAACGTAAATCATTATATAGAAAACCTCTATAACAAATACATTTCTCATTCATTAAATGCAACAAATATTATAAAACCAGTAGACACAGACCAGTAGACTTGGTCCTAATAAATAAACCTCCTCCCTTTTTTAGAAGTCACTGCGTATGCTAAAACATTTAGACCCGTGGGCTTAGTATTTATTGTAATGTTTTGATCACACATTTTGGTGGTGGAAACTTAGAAAGTGACACTGACCAATGGACATTTCATAACAACGAGTATACTACTCGTATAATATAAGTATATTTTTTCAGGCTATATCTAAAGAAACATAATAATTTTTTAACTTTTTATTATCTTTCAATGGACATTTTTTAAAGATTCGGCATATATACATTTATCACATATTGTTTGTGTTTGGCTTACTATACTTTCTAGGCTTCTTCTTTTTGTAGACAAATACTTTTAATAAGGGATTATAATAAACCATAACCTAGAACATATATTGTGTATATAGAAAAACTAC